ATGGCTAACTCAGTAGGACCCAGCCGACAGAGTTCTAAGCGTAGCCACCGCTTCTGACTTTTCTGATTGCAATAATATTCCTTATTCGCTTTCATTTGAAACTAAATAATCTGATTAATATCATTATGTCATTATAAACCCATTTTATGAAAAAGATAATATAAAGAAAGTACATGATATAACTTCTTTGTGTAAACTCCTAAGATAGGCCTCTAAATATCTGATACTTAGTGTTACATCACAAGATGAAGTGTCCACAATGAACGAATATAAGGGATTTGTATTTCAAAATATTTTTGATATAACATTTTTTGAATGGTTATTTCTATCGAACAAGAAACAATTCATTGTCCCTCCATAACAAGTACTCCGCTTGTTTGTTTCAAGGCAGATTCATGGGGTTAGAAGATGTGGAGGAAGAGTAGGCTGGAGTAACTAGAAAATGAATAAATAAAATAAATCATTATGGATCTAAAGGGTACATGCATAAACACATGCAAGCACATTTACCTTTATAATAATTTTCATGCGTATGCCCATGTAAACGAATGTTTACACAAGAAAACAGCCAATTTTATGTAATGGTCATGTTGTCTTGGGTCTGGATTTGCTCCTTTTCAGTGGAGTCATTTGTTTGTTTGTTTCTATAATTTGGAGACTAATGATCATATCTTTACGCAACAGTGTGTTTGAAAGTGAAATTATAGTAGTTTCTACGGTAATGAAATGGTAAAGATTCAGAAGTTAGAAAATACAGAAAATGAACTTTTTGTTTGTTTGTTTTTCAATTTTTCTTTTTCGAGCAGTTGATCCCTTGGCCCGGAGTTCATATCCGATTGAATTTTGGAAATATCGTTGGAAATCCTGTGAAAATGCGGAGACAAATGTGTTTCGGATTTTTAAGATTTTGCTAACTTTTTTATATAAATTTTAGAAAGTCAAAAAAGAAAAAAAAAACTTTTCAGGGGATATTGAATAAAAAATTTAAAGAAGCCTTTGTAGTTGTCTTAGGAATTCATTGATGTTCAGCTTACATTTTTTTTCATGATATTCATAATCCTCTGGGACAAGGAATCAACCATGCAGCCACATGAAAAAAAAAAAAAAAAAAAAAAAACGTCGGAACCCACATAAATTTCATATCAAAAGATGTGGAATACTATAATACATCAAATATAAAAAAATGATGAAAATTTGGAACTTTTTTTTTGGGGGGGGGGAATATTTACCCATATGACCCCCCAAACTTCATAATTCCCCCCACCCCATTTAGGGACAGTCCTCTTATATCAATAGGTATATATGTATGTATATTTTCAAGTATGGTATTTTTTTCCTCTATGACAACTTTACTAACAAGATTTAGAATTTCTTACACATGCTTCATGTCAGTCAGTGAACATTGCAGATACTCCATGGAGTGAAATGGCACCCAACCTATATCTGACCCAAAACAATTGACTAAAAGATTTTAATTACATAGCAGCCTTACCAATCGTCCTTGCCCTCATGCCTAGCAGGAAAGGGGAATGTAATAATAGGTGTGTTTGAGTACACATATGCAGCATGATTACACTTGCATATTTTTTGTATTCACACCTTTAATTGAAGTCAAAACCATACATCACATATTAGAAGAGTAAGAGTGAAAGGTTGTTTTGAACTTGGGCGTCAGACGTGTAGCAAACCAGCGTTTATTCTTACACAGTGTAGATAAAGGGAAATATTTTTACCACAGCAGGGGGGGGGGTGTTGTCCTAGCAGAAAGAATATTCTTCCTTTGTCTTGCAGTAAAGGTGGGATTAGTTTCTCTTTTCCTTTTCAAGAAAGCAAATGTAGGAGAGTTAACTTTGGGAATCAGTTTTCCCCTTACCATGTGAGTATAATTTCCTACTTTGGTGTCCTTGAACAGCTGCACAATACAAGAATTATGCTTTTATTTCAGTTAACAGTGGAACTGATTCAATACTTTTTGTTGTAGTATAATGATATAACACAGAAATCAAATAGACCAGAGTTCTTAATCAGGAATATGATAATCAAATACTGGGATATAGAACTCAATCTCTAGAGAATTGTTTTTATTTGATATATTAATTCATATGTGTAGAGAATTTCGCATTTACTACTCCTGTTCCATATTTCAAAATAAGATTCATCCTTGATTTTTAAAAATTAAATAAGCAGAAGCATTCCAAAACTGATGTGACTGATAATGATGATCATGTTGACAGTCAGGTGAACAGGGAATGGGATCAAATTTGGCATTCCGTTGGGGTTTTAGAATCATCAAAAGGTCAAGAATCCTTAAACTAGACAGCAGGAAGGAGAGTAAAAAAGTTAGCTTGTTCATTGTTACTCTTGAGTCGTGGAATTGTCCAGGAGACTCTTTCAGTGATGTGAAATTGTTTCCTTTATTATGTGACAAATGAGATTGTGAGTCACTTCTCAATGCAAAACATTTCCATGACACTGTTTAATTGAATCTCCAAAAATGTATGTTACACAAATTGGTAGTTTGTTAAAACTTATCAGTTTCATATCTTAGTTATTGTAAGTATTCTCTCTAGTGTAGTCTCAGCATTGCATTATCAATTTGAACATGGCAAGCTAAACTACATATTCAGTAGGATGTAGAGAGTACACATTGAGTTTTCAAAGAGATCTGGTGATATTTTCCAAAAGTATAGGGGAGGTTATCCTTTAGCAGCATATATTGTGTCAATTGTTGATTAACGTGTTACAGAATTATGGTACATGTTGACAAGATTCCCATGGTGGCTTTAAAAATCAGCCTTTTTTCTTGTAATTTATTAGGTGTGTTCTATATGAATGGACGTGAAATAAGCTGCTTTTTAGGATAGAAGGCTTAACCTACTGTACCAGTATATGCTATGTACACTGTGATCTTACTTTATTAACCAAATGGACCTGTGTACTTGTAATGTCAACTGTAGTTTTTACTGAACATTATTAAACACAGATGGCTCCATAAGTGCTTAGTCACCAAGTAGTCATTTAGTAGGCCCTAGGTTGATTTCACTAGATATATATGATTTTGTGTTTGACTCTATTTAGTTGTATATATATTTGTCATTTTTCATGCTATATTTACAAGCCAAAAATAACCAAAACTAAAATAAATACGAAACTGAATGTCTATATCCTGATTACAGTCAGTATTTTATAATTGTGTGACACTGTCTAGAGCACTGATACATTTTGCAATATGATAATGAATATGGATGATTAATGACTGTAACATAATTCTGGTGATAAAGGGTTATAATGTCAAGAAGTGTTATCAATTGTATATATAACTGATTGACCACTAATGTTTGGATTTCAGGCACAGTCTCGCCTAGCTGAACCAGAGGATAAGAATCGGCTGGCGCAAGGGTCCTCATACGTTCCACCACACATGCGTAACATGACAGCTTCCCCGCTGCCAAAGAATAGTAAGTTCTACGTTTTTCCCTTTAGTTTCTTTTAATTGTTAATAGCAAAGTGGCATTGTATTGATTTGCACATCTTTCTTTGTCTTCTGTGTCTGTTGTGTGTCAGTTTGCCCATTCTTATTCTTCTTCTTCTCTCTCTCTCTCTCTCTCTCTTCTCTTCTCTCTCTTTCTCTCTCTCTCTCTCTCTCTCTCTCTCTCTCTCTCTCTTCTCTCTCTCTCTCTCTCTCTCTCTCTCTCTCTCTCTCTCTCTCTCTCTCTCTCTCTCTCTCCTCTCTCTCACTCTCTCCTCTCTCACTCCCCCCCTCTCCCCTCCTCCCCTCCTCTCTCCCCTCCCTCTCTCCTCCTCTCCCTCTCCTCTCTCTCTCCCTCTCTCTCTCTCTCTCTCTCTCCCTCTCTCTCTCTCTCTCTCTCTCTCTCTCTCTCTCTCTCTCTCTCTCTCTCTCTCTCTCTCTCTCTCTCTCTCTCTCTCTCTCTCCTCTCTCTCTCTCTCTCTCTCTCTCTCTCTCTCTCTCTCTCTCCCCTCCTCCCTCTCTTCTCTCTCCCTCTCCTTCCTCTTTCCTCCCTCTCTCCCTCTCTTTCTCCCTTCTCTCCTTTCTCTCTCTCTCTCTCTCCTTCCTCCCTTCTCCTTCTTCCCCTCTCTCCTTCTCTCCCTCTCTTCCTCCCTCTTCCTTACTCTCCCTCCTCCTCTCCCTTCTCCTCTCTCCTTCTCTCCCTCTCTTCCTCCCTCTCCTTCCTTCCTCCCTCTCTCCTTCTCTCCCTCTCCTTTCCTACCTCTCTCTCCCATAATCCTTCCTTCCGCGTCTCTCAACCTCTCCTCCTCCCGTCTCTCCCTCTCCTTCCTCCCTCTCTCCCTCTCCTTCCTCCCTCTCTCACACTCCTCCTCCTCTTAACCTCTCTTCTCCTCCCTCTCTCTCTCTTCTCTCTCTCTCTCTCTCTCCCCCTCTCTCTCTCTCTCTCTCTCTCCCCCTCTCTCTCTCTCTCCTCTCTCTCTCTCTCTCTCTCTCTCTCTCTCCCCCTCTCTCTCTCTCTCTCTCCCCTCTCTCTCTCTCCTCTCCCCCCTCTCTCTCTCTCTCTTTCTCCCCCCCCTCTCTCTCTCTCTCTCCCTCTCTCCCTCACTCCCTCACTCCCTCCCTCTCCCTCCCTCCCTTCCCTCTCCTCCCTCCCTCCCTCCCTCCCTCCCTCCTCCATTCCCTCTCCCTCTCTCCCTCCCTTCCCTCTCCCTCCCTCCCTCCCTTCCCTCTCTCTCCCTCCCTCCTCCCTCCTCTCCCTCCCTCCCTCCCTCCCTCCCCTCCCTCCCTCCCTCCCTTCCTTCTGTCACCCTCCCTACCTCATCTCCTTCCTTACCCAACCTTCCTCCCCTGTCTCCCTCTCTTTTCTCTTCTCACCATAGCATATGTATTGATTGGTAACTGATGTTTTCCTGCAGCTCCGAGGCGGTGTCGTGTAGCTCCTGATATAAACAATGAGATGGCCTTCCCTTCACTCTCAGATGCTCAAGCTGCCAATCCAATGGGAGCATGGGGAAGGAAAAAGGGAAAGTGAGTTGTCTTTGCTTTGTATTTCATAAGGAGTGTTCAGAAAAGTGTTTTGTCACCAACAAATATCTGATAGCATTTGCAGACTTCCTATGTCCATGGACTAGTTTTCAGCAAACGATCAGCATCATTTGGATGTGAGCACACAATCAAAGAAAGATAGATTATAATCTAAATGAACATAAGATTTATTAACCCAGTCACGCCGGGTACATTTGTTTATTTCCATTTCGTTATTGGTTATTACCGCCTCACAGGCATGTCAAATGATACTTTACAATTGGTGGTCACTACAATGCCAGATTCAAAGTGTTCTTAAGTTGCCATATTCAGCATGGAGATACTTAAGAAAGGCTTGGATGCTGTCAGGATGTCTCGGGGAACATATCCTGCAAGTTTTATTGATGGACTCCGCATGATTATTGAAACCTTATGTTGGGTCAACGAGTGCACTTTGACCTGTCTGTCGTTCTTAAGTGGATTTGTCCAAAATTTTGACGCTTAAAAATGATAGATTCTTATTATGTGTTGATAGAGGAACATTTTGGTGTATGTTTCATGGATGTACTCAACCATGCTGATAAAACTTTCAAGCCAGTGGGAGTAAAAAAGGTACCCGTTTTTCCACCTTTTTTTGTTTTGTGTAATAACTGTACCCAAGAATGGATGATTAAACAAGTGATCCTTATTCCTCCCATTAAAATCTACAATTGAAGTCTAATCTTGACCCAGTACCCCAAATAGTAAGGGAGTAGCAGTCATTTTAATGGTACCGGAAAACGGAAATTGGGAAGGTCATGACCTTTGACCTCCTCTTAAGTGGCTTTGTCCAGAAAACCGACACTTAAGAATTACCAATATGATATCAGTATGCTATAAAGTATATTCTGTAAAGGTTTCATTTATGTACACTACATGCCGACTAAAAGTGATAATTAGCTTTAATTAGGTCGTTCTTAAGTGGCCAAATCCACAACATGTTCACTTAAGAATGACGGATCCTTAATCAGACCCCAATGAAGATTAATCTAGCATAGCTTATTCTCTGACTTTTAAGTGTAATATATGAAGGTTGATAGGTAAACAATATGCATTATATGAAAATAAAAAGTGAACAGAAAGTGCCTTAATATGACTGGATTCTGTTAATCCAATGCAACCGTACATGCCATGCCCATTGAGTTTAATTTATTAACCCATTAGCGATGGGTGTCCCATATCAGCCTATGGATGATATGGGGTTCATTTCATGGCTGACTTGGTTGTGGCTCTGAACTTTGTCATTCACGTTAAGGCTGACTTCGACATGGCTCTAGGTGATGAGTCATTCACGTCATGGTACAATGATGCATGCATTACATTTTATACTGTTCTTTATTAGGAACCTTTATGCCCACATAACTTGCCCTTGGGGCATTGCCTGAGGGAGAATGGGATGTGTAATGGTATGATTGGTTATTGTTTTGCATAAAGGGTGTGAAAGGCCCTGAAGGTAAGCCCAGTTGGCTATGCATACTCCTCAGAGTGGAGGCCAAGTGAACTCATGTACTCTTGGAGCGAATTGGTTAATTGCACTAGAAAAAGAAAGAATTCCCAGAAATTCAAGGAAAGGGAAATCATTTGAGGTCAAGTAGGTCTACTAATTGACTCCATGGTATCTGATATTTCACAAGAGTATATGATAGTGAACATTACATGTTTCTGGTGTCATTGGTTGTACTTGGTATCTAGAGAGCATTTTTATAGCAATATTTTAAAGGAAACACGTGTACTGGATAGTTGTTTAAGAAAAAAATTAATGAATTAATAGATAAAAGATAACATATAGACCAAGTTAGGATGTTTTAAGACATTTTATTTAATGTTGTCATTAACCTATCTCTGTCTCCTTCACAGCAATGAAGGTTTTGAAAGTGTCAAGCATGGTTCAACTCGAGTGGTCCAGGAAGACTTTGCCCCACCTAAGCTAGCAACAGCCAATCGCTTTGAGGCTTTGAGTGACAACAGCTGAGGCGACGGACAACTAGTTGAGTTATGACAGTGTAGGCACTCAGGCAGGACCACAAGTTGAATATATTTACTTTATTTTTCCTTTTAGCTGGTGTTCTTGGTGGTATCATTATTATTATTTTTATTATTATTATTGTTATGAATAATATTATTTTTATTATTATTATTTTACTAATATGATTGTGATTATTATAGCTAACAATCTTGATTATCATTATTGTCTTTAACTTCAAATTTTCTGGTAAACCTTTTTCCTCGTGTTTTGAAGGAGCATGTGAACTTTCTTAGGATGGAAAGGTTTGTGCAATCTGGAGATGAAGATTATTGACCTAGAAATGGGATCATATACACACACACATATATATTTTTTATGATCTTTTATTATTTAATGCTAATGTACTGAGACTTACCATATAATACAGCTTCAAATGGAGTTTAACAAATCTTCCACCTTCATTTTTTTACCCTTTTTTTACACAAGTGTGTTTCCTATGAACTTATTGAATGGATTTTGCTGTGAGGATAATTTTGCTGGTTCAGTTCACTTTTAAAGGAAAAAAAAGAGAGAGAGCGAGCGAGCGAGAGAGAGAGCGAGAGAGAGAAAAAAGACAACAGTCAATATTTTATAAGAAAATGCTAACTTAAAAAGAAATGAGCAATCTACTTACTTAAGAATACCTATTTTGAATTTTATACAGTTGTTAAAAGTACTATGCTAAGAACACTTTGAGAAGTTATGTACAATGCTGACCAGACAGGGATTCAATAAACTGCTGATACGCAAAGTATCACATAAGTTTTAAGCCTATTTGTTACAAAACTTTTTTTTCTGCTTGATGGATACTGTAGCTTGTCGTAGTAGAATCTCTAATGTTTATTGAGGAGGAATCAAAACAATACAATGGAATTACTGACGTGCATCCTGTAACTCGGGGATCTGTTTTTCTCATTGTCCGCCTGTTTCTGGTGTGGAGAGGGCACTTTTGAGTTTATTTATTTATTATTTGGAACTTTCTTTTTGTTATAAACTTTTTCGCCTTTTTATTTATTGATGCTGCTATAGTTCCTGTACGTAGTAGTAGTATTTTTTTTATCATTATTATTGCTTATACTTTTATAGTTAAGATAGATTTGGCTATTAAATGTGTTAATGATACTTGTATTAGTTTTTGTTATTATGATACTAGTAGTAATAATAAATATTATTATTATTGTTATTATTTTCATTGTTATTATTATTATTATTTTTTTTTTCATCAGTAGTATTGCTATTGTTTGTTTTTTAGTATTTTTGTTGTTATTACTTTTCCAGTTGGAATAAGTTTTGTTGTTTTATTGATTTATTTATTGATACCATGATTTATGTTATTACTCTTATCATCATTATCATCATTGCTATTATTATGATAAACATCTTTATTATGAGTACAGTTATTATAATTTATGATTATGATTATGATCATTATTTACTTTTTTATTGTTTTAATGATATTACTATGTTTCTTATTCTTTTTTCTTTCTTTTTTTTATATTTTGATAACATAATTAATCATTATTATTATTATTATCGTATATTTTTTTAGTATTGCTGATATTAAAAACTTTGATATTCCAGTAGTTAGTGATATTATTATATTCCTTGATATTACTTATTTATGATAATGATTACGAATTCTTTGTATACTTTATTAATTCTTTATTATATTTATTTTATTTGTATGTTATTATTTCTTATTAATAATATCATCATTTTTTATATTTTATATTTTTGGTTGATACTTCAAAGACTGACATAGACTGCTGCTACTTAGGAATTCATGTCTGTTTTATTGCTCAGGAATGCTATGGGAAAAGGTTCCTTAGAAAATGGCGAATGTCCAACCATTTTGTGGCCAGATATTTTTGTTTTTGTTTTTTATGTTTTGTTGACGGATACCTGAGTTCTACACCCGTTGAAAACACTCAAGTTTGATAATATTAATAAGCTTTATTTTTTATGTTAATACCTGTGTATGTACCTTGACATGCACACCAAAAAAAAAAAAAACAAACAAACAAAGGAAAACATGCTGACTGGTATTGCACTTGTATAGACAATCGCTCCTATAAAGAAATTTACATTTGAGTGGTTTTTTATTATCATTCTCGTACATAGATTTGTCATTTTTTCGATTAAGGTGAAATGTACGTAATGGACGGGAACGTTACAAGCGTTTTTAAACATTTGTTGAAATTGTGTATAATTTGTCAAATGTATTTAAAATACAGATTGTTTAATTTTGTAATAGAATTAATCTTATTTTCATAATTTGTGTAATTTGGTAAGTGTATATACTTGAGAGGAATGTGAATAATGTGCATTAGACGTATACCTAGAGAATGCACGTCATTACAGACTGCATGTTCCAGATAGTGAAGCAAATGCTATATATGGAGTGCTTTCTCAAGCAATATATTGGGTGGTGATGATAGCTGTGTAATATCTTTTTTCCAATGTGAAGCATTTGAATCACAAGATAAGTAACCGAAGGTGTGAATAATAAAAGTGAAACTGATAGATGTTGAAGGCAGAATTTCATTGTCTTCCCTTTTTCCTTTTTTTTCTTTTTTCTAACTTTGGGGAAACTTATTCTTGTGGCAGGTTAGTATTCGGATATTTCAATTTTGCCGTCTTCTGGTCTTCCTTAAGTGATCCGCCCCTTCCCAATCCTCGTCCTGCTGCTGCTCCTATTCTCATGTTCATCCTCCTACACCTCCTGTCCAACCATTTCCAAGCCTTGGGCGGTGTAGTGGTGGTTTTGAGTTTTGTGAATTTTATCTCCACATAGCTTAAGTAGGGAAATGCATATGGAAAGATTATTTCACAAAGCCTGAAATTGCTTGCTGCACCAACCACAGCCAACTACAAGTATTCCCACTTATTTTCACTAACCAGGTATGGAACTGATTTTTGTCAGTGCTGTGATTTAAAGAGGCCATATATATATAGATATTACTTTTTTTCATTGGTATTCACAGCACTGTGGTGCTTAAAAGGTATGAGTAGACTTTGTCTTGCAAGAGAGATGACCGAGCTCTTAATGAAACCCTGCTCCTCCGCTTTCTTATGAGAACACAGAGGACACTGTTTAGGTCAAGAGGCAAGAAGGAAATTCATTGTAATTATTATTTCTGAATTTACACTGTTGAATGTGTTTTGCTGCCATAAAATCCTAAAATTTGGTTTGCAATGGTAGATTGAATGATTGTAAAGATCATTTGAATTGACATTTAATAAAATTTGTGGAAAGGGAATCAGTGTTTTAATAGCATGGAATGTGAAAATACATTTACCAGCTAGTGAATTCCATGATCTTTTAATGTTATTAGTAATGCGTTGAAAGAATAAGTTTGGTTTAGGTAGCTCATGAAAGTTTATTGCTATTTTTATTTCTATTTTTTTCAGGTATTATAAGCATTTTCATTAAATTATTGGAACAAAAACTAACAATGTTGCAACATTAAGAAGATTTTTGCAGTGGAATATTTTGCAATATTATTTGAATAAGTGAAAGAATTCAAACTGTGTAGAGAATGATTTAAATTCAAGATATATAACAAAAACTTTAAACAATTATTAGTGAATACCAGTACACAGTAGATTATTTTTAAGGTTATCTTCTTTGCGTACATTATAAAATATACTTCATATCATTCATGTAACAATAAAAAAAAAATCAGGGCAGTTGGAAAGTAAAACTAATAAAATCTTGGAACACAAGAGACCAAGTTTGTTCAAAGAATAAGAAGCAATATTGTGGCAATATTAATGAGTGTTTTCTTACCAGATACTTCACCCCCCCCCTACCGTTGTTGTGCGGGGCTTAGGAGACAGACTGAGGCCCAGTGTTGGGGATCTCCCCTATCTTGAGCATCAGCTTTCAACTCAACCAGTTTTGCAGGGTCTTATTCCCTATCTTCTCTGTCTCCAGGGTCTCCTTTGACCATGACTGAACACTGCTACTACTACCCCTTCTTAGATTCCTGCTGTCACTGTGGCCCATTCCAAATCACCCACTCAGGTCATTACTAAACCTTCAGAAAATCTACCTTATTCCATCTCTTTCTGCAGTCTTTTATTTTCTGCCCCTCTCTCCCTTCTTACTACTATTCATCCTTATTGTCTGCCTCTGCAGTAGTACCTCACTCAAGACCACTTCCTCTTCCTTCTGTCCTTATCCTTCTATTACTTCCGTCACTACAGACTTTTTGAGCACTATTTTTCTTAATGCAGCCAGGTGGGGTCGATTTTTTGTGATCCCCTACAACCCCTTACTCCGACAACACCGTCTTTTCAGTAATGTCTACAAAAACAAGCAGGCAGTTTCCTTCTCGCCTTCTTACAGTTGCATCTGAATCCTAAGTTCAAGCATTATCTACCCTGATAACCTCACCCCTCCCCTGCCAAACACTGGCTCCACAACCCTCTGCCCTCAATGTGCCCAACCTGGCCATGATGATCGTTCAAACTGCTTGGCATTATCGCACATGTGCCAGCTGTGGTGGCTCTCATAATGTATTTTATGGGGGCTGCTCTGCTGACAAGCTTGAGTCCGAAATGGCAGGTCTCAGATTCAAACTTGGCCTCACATTCCGCTAGGCCATACAAAAAGAACGCAGACGAGGTATTTCTCTTGCATCCTTCTCTAGTGCACTCCTTTGGTTCGTTTCTCCCTCTTCCTCCTAGAATGTTTCTACATCTCCAGTTCCTCATCTTACTACTAACGTTACCACTTCTACGCTCTCCCTCTCCCAGTCAAAGTTTTTCGACATTCTAAATCTGGACACCAATTTCTGCACCTTCCCCGATACCTACCCCTCTAACACCTCCCCCTTATAAGACCTTTGTTTCTTTGACCTCCCCCACCCAACTCCCTTTCAGAAACTTTTGAGGACATTCAAAACTTTCTAGTCATGATCCCCCCAAAAACAAGTCTATACCTCATCTATTCTTCAATCTGTTTCAGTTCTCTCTACAAAGTGCTTACCGACAGCCATCCTCCTCTATTTGCGTCTTTCTTTGCCACTGGATCACACTCGTTTCAGTTTATTCTCCCCTTCGCATCCTGTTTACTTTGTTACCTCTGAACCTCTTCTTTCCCAACTCAAGCCACCTGTGCTGATACGAGGATCGATTTCTCTTCACTAATACCCTTGTTTTTAATAATTCAGACCACTTCACCCAATTAGACATGCATTTACATATTTACGGATTATATATATATATATATATATATATATATATATATATATATATATAATATATATATATATATATATATATATATATATTATATATGTATATATATATTATATATATATATATATATATATAATATATATATATAATATATAATATATATATAATATATAATATATTTATATATATAATAT